CACCATACACTATTGCTCTCCTTTAGTTTTTTTAAAATCTTTACATTTGAATCCCTTAGAGTCTTCTAAAATCTTACAGAATGGTACAGAAGCACATTAAAACAGCTATCAAAATAAAGCTATTTGTTTTAACTTAACAGTATTACTTAATATGGTTGCATAAAAAGGAAGCAATAAAGAGAAAGCAGGTTTGCCTGAATTCTCTTATGGTGTTTGCTAGTTATTGTGGGTGAAAATTGTGAGCATCCTATTTGTTTTCAGTTGTTCTATTGAAATATGGCACTCAAATCTAGGTCTTAATGACTAACAAAATATCTGCTCCCTTGATTTAATGAGGACAAATAACCTGTTTGGCTCTTAGAGGTAAACTGTAAGTACAGATGGGCTATACATTTGGTAACTGGATAATTGGTATGTTAACCTCAAGATTATTAGTTTAAATCCAGCCCCTCTCAAAAGTAATTCATTTGTCACCTATGTTTGGTGACCTATGAAGTCAAATATACTTTCAATAAACAACTGTTACCACAGGAGGCTGCCCCATGCAGCCCTGCCAGGGAGGCAGACCAGCAGCACAACCACCCCAGCTTCTGCACAAAGCACAACCCATGTCACAAGGAAAGGGGGAGGAAACTTTTATTTTAGTCAGTTACATAGGCTGAGGAAAGGAAGTGTAACAACACTCTTCCTTTGAGTCCTTTCTACTTACTGAATAATTCACATTTAACTCCTTTCCCTTCTTTCAAAAAGCCTAGCCAGACTTCTTGCCCCTACAGGTCTATTCCCCAATGCAAAGTTCAGAACAAAAACCCCAGGGTTGCTAAACCAGATTCAAACTGGAATAAAGAAAAAAAAAAAGTCTCCTTACCCAGGCTTTAAAATACAATGGCAATACCATTCTGAGTCCCCTAAACCAGATGCTGGAGCTCTTCCTCTTTTCAGAGTCGAAATCTGGGCTGCTACGTGCTTGCGGCTCCTTTAAGCAAGTTATAGCAAGATAGCTAACCCAAGGCAGATGCACCCTTCTCCAGTGCAGCCTTACCCCACATCAGGGCCAAACAGGGACAGCTGGCATGACTGCACCAACACTAGTAACTTGTCTATGGAGTTACAGCTGTTCAAACAGGGATGAAGGTGTTCCTACAAAAAGCTGTTATAGGATAGTAAGCAGTTTGGATGCCACTGTAGACAACCCCAAAATCTGAGGTAGAGATTTCCTTTGCTTACATAGTACCCCTGGAGGCAGCACCTTTTCCACATTAGCAAATGAGCCTGTATATATTGAACTTTTCTATACAACAATCAGCACACACTGTCTTCATTTTTGTGTTTAATTAGCTGCAATTAACCATGTAAAGTTAAACCAGGCAAGTATTTCTTAAGTCACTTGGGCTGGGCAGTGCCATTCCCTGGCACACGTCTTGTTCTAGCAATAAGAGTCAATATGTCTGCAACAAAGACAAGAATGATTAAATGGAATAGGGAAGCAGTAATTGTTCTCATTACTTGCAGCAGCCGTTAAAAGTAATTACAATTTGGCAAAGGTGATTTTCAAATATAAACAGATGCTCATTGGGAGTGCAAGTTACCAAAAATGAAACACCTGTTTATATATCAGTGCTGCTGCAGTTTAGCAGCATGCAGCATTCCTGAAACTATTAAATACATGTATTATGCCAACAAAAATTTGGCCATGTGTTTACTTAAGGCCTGAATAAATATGGCTGATCTCCAACAAAAATCTGATTAAAGTCTTACCTGGGGTTAATAAGACTGACAGTAAGAAGTGTCATTTATAAGAAACCTAAACATGACAAGTAACATAATGTAAATAACTACAGTTGATGTAAAATGGAATTTTGAAAGAAAAATCCTGTTCTGACTGGAAGCATGTATTGATTTATTCCTATGGTTTCTAGTTAGTGAATTAAGCTGTTTCCATTAATGGTTGGGACACAAAAGGCAAAGGCAGTGTTTTCAGCTGGTGCATGATTTAACAGACACTGAGTGGTCGTCTTAGCTGCTGTAACCCACTAAAATCTGCAATCTGACTCAAAGCAACACTTCTTGCTGCTAGTCCTATGGATTTGAAGAAAAATGTGCGAGTAGCAAAAATATATGTAAGAGTGTTGCAGTTCAAGTCCTTTAACTGTATTTATCTATTTTACAGTTAAACTTTCAGAGAGCGTAAAATACAAAGTGATATTCATATTTCATCTGCCCATGAAAAGTAGAGGCTGAATTATCCCAAGACACGTTTGGGCTTTTGGTTTATGAGAAGTTTAGAGGACTCAGGACAGATTCACATAAGGGATATGGGACAAAGCTAAGAACTGCTGGCTCTGTGGTACTTTGGTGGATGCTCAGCACAGCATCTTTGCACACAGCAAGCCACACAGGAGTTTATGATGCACATGAATGCCAATACAGACTTTGCTACTTACAATATTCACCCTGGTACCCACCACAGTAGTCCCTCCTTCCCAAAGAGAGCTCGACTGGGGCCCAGCACACCAGCTTGCAGTTGCTAACACGCTTCCTGACAGAAGTGTTGCCAAGACCCTCCTGTCTTAGGGAGCTCTACAGTTTTCAGAACTCTAATTTTGTTGTTGTTGTTCCACAAAGTGGGAAAACTTGACTATTTCTCCAATCCATTTTAAGGAACAACCATAGAGAGGAAAAAAGCCAAACAATTTCCGCTCCTCTCTAAGCAGAAGTAACCTGTATGATAAACTGCCATACCCAAGTATTAAACATTTGGATAAAACATTTTGTTCAGAAAGAGAAAAGTGTAATCTAGTCCCATATCTATCCACCATAGATGTAAAAAAGGCAATAGAGTCAACAGACAAGCACCTACACGTTACAATATAGGTATGATTTTAGATTTGGCCTATTTTGGGGAAGGAACAGATTCTGAATCTTCCAAACATCCTGAATATTGGAACACTCCAAATTCATGCTCCAAATTATGGAAGTTCCAGATTTGGGAGTTGAGTTTGCTGAACTGCATAAATCTGCAGTTCAGAAGTAAGACTGATGTTTCAAGTTGGATTTAGGCTCAGCTCTGGCTGTGAAAGTGCAAACTGGCATGTGATACAATAACTATTTGACAGCAGCATGTAGCAGACTTGCCGATAATACAGCGTAGGCTCTGAAGGATGATTGTGACTCCCTCAACAGCAATCAATATAATTGTATGATTGTACATGCATAGTTGACCACTACATAAAAAAAGCATTCTAGAAACAACCAAATCCATAACCAATAAGTTATAATATTTTTTATTCATGTTAGAATTTCTATCAGTGTTTGAACATTAATATTTAGAGAGTTTGTACAATTTCCATTCAAGGTTTAAAATGAGAACCACACTAGATCACAAATGGTAACTAAAACACAGTTCAGAATTGTATGAATATCCACACTCTCTTTCTCTCTTAACACTGTTAAGCACTTTCTTTTCTGCCAGGGTTTTACAAGGAAAAGTGTGCACTGTAATCACATCTCAGCAGTGTTCCAAAACATAATGGTATCATCATTACATATAAACTCTTTAAAAATATACTTCTGTCAAAAGACTTGATGACTATGTACACTACAAAAATAAATTTTCATATAAATAAATTATATGGCATAATTTTATCTTTGTAACTGAAATGACACAAACCCACTCCTACCAAAATAGGCAGGCAATGAGACCCAGTTTGAATATGTTTTTCCTTTTCACTCCTTATGCTAAAAGCTATGAGTCCTTAAATGTAAATGTCATATATTTTTTCCTATTTAACATTAGTAAGCACTCTATACAAATAAAAATCCATTTAAAAAGTAAAAACATAGATGTAATAGTGTTTCCAATAGAAATAAAATCCCTGCCTTTTGTTTGTTATAAACTGGCATGACAAACACTGTAAGAAAACATTCTTATAATACAAAAATATAAATATCACCCACAATTAAAAAAAAAGGTTAAAACAAAAAAAAAAAAACCCAAAAGAAACGTTGCCAGCCACCGAGTTCTCCCTTTGACAATGTGACTATTGGAGAAGTTCTACGTGGTGCACGAAGCAGCAGACAGCTCAGCGACACACAGACACGTGGAGCAAGGGAGGGGGCTGGGGCAGCCAGGAGGCCTCGCAGCTCTTCCTTGTCCACCCCACTGGCTGCTGCCTCAGAGGAAGAGGAGGAAGTGAGCGCGGCACCAGTGGTGTCCGTGGGAGCCCTGCCGTCCCCTGACATGGGAGTGCACACACTTGGCCGTTGAAGGTAGCTTCCAATTAGGATCATACAGTTTTATTGCAGAGCTTTTCTGATCTGAGGTCACTATGCTGCTCATGCTAAATTGGGGCCCCTTATCTTTTTGTCATTAAGAGTTGTCATGTTAAGACAGTGAACTGGACCAGTAGACAGTTGTGACATTAACCCTTGGTGTGCATCAAAACAGTAGCTTACGTATCACGGGAACAATGTCAGGCTATAACCTGCTCTGTGAGTGTTCACATTGGAGATCTGTAAACAAGTGCCTCATATCAAAGCGTTTTCAAGTAAAAAAAACAAGGGGCGGGGGGGGGGGCACGAGAATTTGTGCATTCTAGTTATCCTCATTCACTGTGCTGGGAAAGTCTTTAGTCAAAGAGAGACTCCCTGCAGCTGCTGGAGAAATATGCTTTACCATCAAAGAATCAGCTGCTGCTGTTCAGGTGGCATATTTAAAGAAAAGCCTCATCAGCACTGTGCTTAGAAACTGAGTATTGGTTGTTTTTGTTTGGCTCTGAATACATGTTTGAACATCCACATGCTCTGAAAAACAGCTTGGATAAGGGCAGAAAAAAGATGGAGGGAGAGAGAGATAATGAGAACTTTCTAAGTATTTTAAATTAAGGTTCTCCACTCTTAGGATTTGATTCCAACAGGAACACAGAGATTGTATTTTTTCAGGCCCTTCACCTGCAGCAATCCACCTTTACTTTAAAAATAATAATAATAAAAAAAGCTAAATTAGTTTTGCAAAGGGATCCTAGTTTAGCTGTTTTAATTAAAAGTGCCAATGCAGCATGGGAAAAAACAAACGGGGAAAAAAAAAACCACCCCAGGCCTTGTCTGTCATTCATTACAGTCCTGGACCCAATAGAAAGTCATTTATATTTAATAAGTGAAAATAGAAGATTTTTAACATATTTTTTCATCCTTCCATTTGATTTTTAATCACTTACTATTAATTTCTTTCCTGACATGAAAATAAGGTGACAGAGGACACTGCTTTGAATGCTATAAGGACACAGCTGGGCTGTGGCTCCACCATCAAACAATTAGATTATTCAGATTGTAATGCCACTCATAGTTAACAGTATCAACATCAAAATAAGGCATATGCTCATTGAATTTCTATAACTGCCAGCACCTCTCAATATCCAGCACCTTTTGAAATGAAAAAAGAATGGTTATAGCGTTTGCACTTACCTGGCACCTTTTACAAAAAAACAAAGCACTTCACAAACAATAATTAAGCCTCACAACTCTCCTGGGAGGTAGGTAAGTATAATTATACCCATTTTACAGATTTAGAGACTGAGGCACAGGGCAGTTAAGTGACTTAACCAAAGTCAATGTATACCAAGTCATTAACAGAGTGGGAAACTGAACCACAACCCCAAACCCTGACTCCCTGTCTTCTGTTTTGTCTTGGCCCTCTGATGATGGCAGTCTATGGTATGTGTTGTTAGACACTAATGCAGTTTTCACTAGTGCCTACTAACAGGGAAAACCAGACTCGCACCAACATCAGTGGGTTTCTAAGACCACTAAGGGTTACCATACAGTAAAAGAGATAAACTACAGTACACCGGGAACATACACACACAAGCATGCACACTTCCAGGTGCACACATGGATACACACAGCAAAACAAAACCTGCACATAGCTAAACCTATTTAAGCCTCCAAGATTAACGTGCTTTTCTTCATATCTGCTTATTTTAAAAAAATTATCACGCATAGCGTGTTTGAAAGTTAATAGCAACATTTCATACTACCACAGGGTTGTGATATGCAAATTTAAAATATTTTAAACAGACATGTACCTTTACAAAAACAAAAATTCTATTACATAAGCAATATTTGCATAGAATTATACAAGTAAATTATACAATATTTAAGCAGCAGCAACTTATGCTGAAATTTAGAACTAGATTAAGCTTAGTTGTGGCACAGAGATCAATGTACAATAAGTACAGAGCACAAACAATATTGTCCCCACTCTAACTGGAGGCAAATGACTCCAGATTATACTACTTTACACTGTTCTTTTGTATATTACATATGTGTACATCTTTTAAATATTTATAGAAATATTTAACAAAATAATACAATAGTTTACAGTAACAATGAATTGTTGTCCTGATGCAGCATGTTCTTTTCCACAACTTCAAGGAGTTCTCTTCAAGCAGTTCTGGAAATGCAGTTTTCCATCTTTGGCCTCTTCTTTGCTTCAGTTACTACCCTTTACAAGTAAAAAGAAAAAAAATCACAAATATTCATTGAAGTTCAAGAAAAACAAATCAAGCTAATCCAAAACTGAATGATTCTTGTGGCTATAGTTAGCAGTGAGGAAATGTGGGCTCTTTTTCCATCTCAGTCGTGGACCTCCTGGTAAACAAATCCTGATAACAATTTAAAAAGTGTAGACGCCTTGATTTCTGAACGCCCAGCTTTAGACACTTGCCACAAACTCAATGAAATCCAATGGACCCTTCAAGGAGAAAGAAGCTCTGTCTGATACTGGGCACAGTTAAGATTCTCCTAGTAGCCTGCTGTTCAGCTTCAAAATTCTGAGCCTGAATATTTCCTTCTTCTGAGGATATTATTATCTACCATATTCCTAGACTGTAAAGACAAATGCATTCCCGTCTATTTGCATTTTGACATATTTGCAGAGAAGTTTTATAAATCAGAAGGTGATTTTTATCAGGAGTTGATGGGAAATTTTCCATCAGAATTTTGTGCATGCGCACATGTGTGTGCACACATACAATACAAAATATTTCTACAACCAAAATAAAATGGCTTGCTTCAGTCAAAATAGTGTCTGTCCCTGAAAAGCCAAGAAAAGTAAAAAAAGAAAACAGGGTCCAAGAGCTCAAGTAAGGATTTAACACTGTTTTTAGCATTGTTTTTTCTTCCTCCAAAAGACGCAAGAAATAAGTTAAAATGGTGAGAAGCTGCTTTCCAGCTATAAGCCCCCTAAAGCTTTAGGGTAAAAACTCAGTTTGTTCCTCCCCTTCAAAGCAATCCCCATACAATCAAAATAAAATTTTTAAGAAAATAAAGAGCTTTATTCCTCCTAAAACATCTTATAAAGTACCTCGTCTGTTCTGAACAGCGCTACTACTGCAACTTTGTCTTTCCAGCCCAAGGAGAGATCATGGCTTAAGCTTCGAGTCACACAAATTCTTGGGTGAACCAGCAGAATATTATTTCACAGGAACGTATCAGGTGTCCTCCTAGACCAGCTCTGACTCAGAGAAATCTGTGGTGACCACTGTAGCTGCTCCTGACAAAAGAGAGGGCTTGGCCCAGGGATTGCTCCACTCTGGGAGCTCACAGGGCAGGTTGCTGTGGCAACACCACACCTCCACAGCATGGGGGACACCCCACAGTGCAGCCCTACATGAGGCATGGTGGGGCCTTCCTGCCTCTCTCATTCAGCCCATCTCCCAGAGGGATTCAGTCCTCTCTAAGGACTTCAAGTTATTTCACTGAATTTTACTCCAAGGAGTATAATTCTTGAAGTAGCTGGCAATTTTACCCTCTCCTAGGCAACATCCTTATATGTGACATTTTAGAAGGTAGCCTGCTTCAGTGAGATCACAGGATCTGCCAACAGGAAATGCAATTGCACAGCTTTGAACAGGCTACGCAGTGTCTCTGCTTCATTTTCCTCATCCAGAAAAGCGGGATCAAAATACAGGTGTACCTGTTTTGCAAGGCTCTTGGAAGTAGTTCACGTTTGTACAACAGTACAATAAGAAGATACTGTCAAATACTATTTTATCCAACCTAATCTCCAGTACAAAACGTCAGTAGATTCCAGATGATCAGGGACTGACAAGGAAGCCTACCTGAAGGAAAGGCACTTCTGGAAATTCTCATCTTTCCTCTTTCTTTTGATCACACCATTGCCTGAGACAGGTGAAGCTACTGACAGGAGCTGACTGAGACAAGAGACAGACCTACCTTACTCTAAGCCGTTGCCAGGTATCCTTTCTTCACATTCAACATCTTGCAGTTCTATAACTTCTACTTTAGAATTTCTTCTTTCACACCGCACATTAAAAGGCACATGGGGGTCCTCAAACAGCCCATGGTCAGCTTCATGGTACCCCTCGTAGGACGGGAAGCTCCCTCCACGAGAGCTGTGGCTGTGCACGGCAGGGTGGACAGCAACAGTCACTGAAGCTGAGGCAGTCACAGTAGTGATAGGCTGGCAGGATGCCCGTCCCGAAGCGCCCACAGCACCGAACACTGGG